ATGAAAGGCATACAAAATATTCTAAGTATAGAACCATGCAGAAGCAAATCAAGAGAAATTAAAAGATTAAAGCATCCATAGAAAAACAGTTGCAGTTGTGTACAAAAGAAGGCACTACAGAAGTAAATTGTTTCGAAATAACAAAGATAGGCACATCGGCCACAAAAGAAAGTTTACATTGTCCAAAACACAGAAAAATAAAAATGTTCAAACAAAGAAAGACATTGGAGTCAGGCTCTTTCAGCATCAACAGCTGGATGGGCTGGAACCTCGGAGGATTCTGGTGGAACCACCTCGGTAATCTTTTCCGCCGCCAAATCAGCATCAATTTCGGCAAGTGTTTGATCAAGACTTCTGTCGATTGGAGGAACATCAGATGATGCTTGCTCAGGAGTGGTCTCCTTGATAACCTCCTCATCCTCCTCCTGAGTCAAGTCTAGGACTTGATCATCCTGAGGAGGGGACTTGGTCTCACTAGCGTCCTTGGGCTTCCTTACCAAAGCCTCATCATCATCCTTATCCTCATCCTCAGATTCAGACTCAGATTCATCTTCAGCTTGGCTTGGAGGTGGAGGAAATGGAAGAGGAATAGCGTCGGCTTGGCGCAATGGTGAATTCTCAGGAAGATTAAGTTTTTTTGTAAGGGCCATCTAACCAAGGGAGAAGCCCCTGTTGCACGCCTGCCTGACTTGTAGTTTGTATTCTTCTGTAACGTCGGCCATTCCTTGAGCATAGGCCTTTTCGTCGGCTGCCTTGATTTCGACATCTTTAGTAGATAAAGCATCTTGAAGTTCCTTTTTCGCTTGGGCCTTTTTGTCCTCGGCCTTTCTCTTCTCGGCCTCAGCGACCTTCTTAATAGCCTCGGCAGATTCAGCTTTTTCCTCGGCTAGACTTTGGGCTTTGGTGGCGGCCTCAGCTTGGTCCTCCAGTTTTTTCATCTTTGATTATTGAAGAGTTTTATTCTCCTTTTTAAGGGCAGAAACCTCTCTCTTCAGGTCGACCAACTTTGCTCTGTTTTCAAACGCTTGCATGGAGAGAGAGTGGGCATGTTGGATGGCCTGAAAGAACACAAGGCACAAATTGTTACAAGATTTTACAAAGTAAGAGAGAAAACAAATTTCAACACAAAGGCACTTACTTGGATAGAACGTTGCAGCATAAAGGCGTAGTTCTCATACTCACTCATCTTGGCATTCCGCTCAAGATCGCCTGGGAGGAGTAGAGCAGTACTGAGTGCCACGCCAACGTTTATATCATCGGCGCTGTCGTTGGCAAGGACAGGCTTATCCTCTAGAGTGATCTCAGGTGTCCAGGGGACTTTTGGTATTCTGGAACCCGAGTTCATCGCAGACGATGACCTCGGCTTCTTTGATTGGGTGGACTCTGATGGCTGGGCCTCAGCAGACCTTTTTGCAGAAGCAGAAGTAGATTTTTTACTCTCAGCCAATTGTGAGATGGGCAGAGCATCCTCAGCCTCAACCTCAGTAGCTTTGGCCTTGGGCTGGGCCTTTTTGATTCTTTTGGCTTTGGTGGGGGCATGGATTGAGTCGAAACAGCATCAACGTCGGCAGGTAGGTCGGCTAAGAGATCTACAGCAACAGGCTTCGGGCGACCCATCTCAGCAGTTTTGACAAGTCGTCGCCGACATTTTCTTTCGGATATTGGGACCAAGTATGGAGCTGAAGTTGATGGTTGATCGGCTGGATTAGAGGTTGACCCTTGGTCAGCCCGAGATGTTGAGGCGGTTTGTAGAGTGGCAGCAGAGGGAGGAGATGAGCTCTTCTTCTTTCTTTTCGGGACGTCGGGTAAAGTCGACTTATACGTCGGAATAAAATTCAGTACCAACGGAGCCTTGCGCTTTTGGATTGGCAGATTTAGGAGCCTCTTTAAGTCTTTGCTGGGGACGGAGGATTGGCGAAAGTCTTTTGGTGGCTTGTGAACGTCTGCAAGAAGAAATAGACATTAGAAACAGATAAAATATTGAAGACTTAAACAGAAACAACTAAATTATTGACGTTGGACTCTTACCCTTGCCCTCTTTAACTGATCGGGGAAGAGGGTAGAGATGGGCGTCCTCGTCTGTGCCAAACTCCCAATTTCCCAAAGCAATAACATAATCATCTCCAGCCCCCTTGTTGGAGTCTGGGAGGTCGGCTACGATTTTGTATTCCGTCGACCTCGACTTAAGATAATAGACGAAGCCTTTTTCCTTCAGGTTAAGAGGGCACATGGTATAACAGTACTGGATGTCGGCAAGGGTGATCCTAGCGTTCTCCTGCCTAGCTAAAGCTATGATGCCATTGATCACTCGATAAGAGTTTATGGCAAGTTGCATAGGGTTCAACTTATAAAAGTGAAGAATTTCGCGAAAGAGAATATTAAGTGGGAGCCGGAGTCCGCACTCAATAAAAGCTACTATAGGAAAGGGCATTGAATCATCTGTGGGCATGATGGAGTCGTTATCTTCAGCCAACCTCAGATGGACATCGGCAGGAATAGAGAACTCTTGCCTAAAGTACTCAAGGTTGGTCGGGGTGTCTACCCTATGTCTTCACATACCCATAACGTCGGCCTAAAATCAGAGGGCTAGGTTTCAAAAAGAAGATGCTCTTAAGAGGATTATCGGACCTCGGTGAAACCCTAGGTATATGCTGGTAAGGAATATTTCAGTTTTTTCCTAAGAATTGATAGGTTCTATAGACAAATCCCAAACCTAAATCTATGAAGGCAAAGATTGAAAGCGAAAATTGAAGGTAGAGATCTGGCAAAGACACAAAAAACAGAAAACAAAGGCGAAGTTTCAGAAACAAGAACAGGGATGGGCTATCAAGAACATGAAGAATACGAGAAATAAAGCACCAAGATCAGTGGCAAAAATACAGTGAAGTGGTGCAACGGTGCGTGTGTTCAAGGTATAGGCAAGGGCCAAATCAAAGAGTAAACACATTCAGATGAATGATTCACAAAATAGATATTTCAGCAAAGCAGTAATAACAGGAGATTCCAGAAATAGTCAAGAATTGAAATCAGAAGGAATAGTTGCTTACCAGAAAAAATGAAGCCGATGTGAGGACTGCCGAAATTAGTCGGTTGTTACAGATGTGGCAGAACGACGAAAGTTCCACCGGGAAGACAAACACAGAGCTTGGAAGCTTCAGCAATGGCGGATTCGAAAGAACGAGTTTAGAGAGAGAAACAGCAAAAGCAATAGTGAAAAAATGAAAGAAGAAAGAAGAGTTTTTGTCAAAAACCAAAAACGGTGGCAAAGGATAATCAATGCGCCTGGAGCAGCGCATACGTCAGGCGGCGTACGCAGGAAAAACGTGGTTTATAAGCGCGTCACAAACACGGACCAATAAGGTAAAGACGCGTAAGAGAAACGGTTGAGAAGTGATGCATGACAGCTCATGTGCGTGGGAAAGTTCACTGGAATTCTTGTTCTCTGAAGAGAACATGTCGGCTTGAAATAAATGATCTCGGCTGAAGAGTTTGTAGGCCAATGTATAGAAAAAGATATCGATATAGGTTCCATCACCTCAGAATGCCGAGGTAATAGAACCTAGGGGCAGTTGTGGGGATGCATTTTCTGAATACCAACACGTGGCAAGGTGACGCCGACGTGTCAACCGAGGTGCCACGTGTCCAGGTTGTGACGCCGAGGTTATCTCGGCAAGGCCGAGGTTATCTTCGAAGATATCGGAATCCGAGATAAATGGATAAAAGATAAGGGACAGGAGTCCTAGAGTAAAGAGAAGACTTTGCTAAGATAAGGATAAAGCTCTTAGGGAGTTTATCTTTATCTCTTGAGGAATTCAAAGTAAGTACTGAATTGGAGTCCATAGAAGTCAGGCTTCTAGTGGGACTAGGATTGAGTTAACTATAAAAGAGAGGCACCCCCGTGGGTCTAAGGTACGCAGTTTTATGCTTAAGCTTGTGAGTTTAGCACTTGATTATCTTTGAGAGATATACTGACTTGATCGTCGGAGTGCCCCCAGGTGGAAGAGCCACCGCCGAAGCCTTTTCTTTTTGTTACAGGTTTGCTGAAGCCATCTATTCTACTGGTGCTCTCCAGCTGATTACTAGGCGGGCAGTGTGGTCAGAAAATTACCCACACAAGAGCTATTCAAATTAATTGCAAGGACATACACCTAAACTATGGACGAATCAAAACCTCCATCACTTATGATAGCATTTTGAGAAATTTAGATTTGATTTGGGTTGGATTTGGGTGTAATTTGGGTTATAAAATAGGGGATTTTAATGGTTTTCTACGGAATACTGTTGAAATAATTTTGTGGAGGAAATGTATTGGAATTTATAAAATTACTCTTAAATGGGTTTTTTTTTTTTTTTTTTTTTTTTTTTTTTTTTTTTAAATAAGCAGTTATTGTTTCGAAAACGTTGGAAATCCTTGGGGGTTCTAGTTTGGAATAAGGATGGGAATTGTTGTGATTGTGAAACAATGTTTTTATCCTTGTTGAGTTGGGAAGAGAAGATTGAACAGGTAATTGTTACTCCTTTATTGAAATTATAAAATTATATTTGTCTCCTGAAATTTATCTTTTGAATAGATTTATATGTTTTGGCTATCAGTGGAAGATATCATTGATTATTGTAGCAATTATATGAGAAATAGGTTAACTAAAACCATTCATTCATGCATTTCCATCTGAATATTTGGTTTTAATCCTTATACATTGAAAAGTATTATTTTGAGAAAAATGAATGAATCTGGTTAGGAGGTGTGGTTGGTTATTTATGTTGGTCTTTGTATTCTTGGTGAAAGTTTAGAAACCTGTGCAGTTAGGTGCAATCCTTCCAGTTAGTATCGGTAAAATGACTTTTGGTAGTGCTTATATAGTGTTATCCTAGGTAGGCAACACAAGAGGGGATGTTGAATTGGGTTCTAAATAAATTGCCAAATTAAAAATTAATCAAATAATAAATAAATAAATATGCTCAACAAAATAAAATAAAGTAATGAAATAAAATGAGTAGAGGGAAGAGAAATCAAACACAACGATTTATAGTGGTTCGACATGTCGAGCCTACATCCACTCCCCAAGTATCCTCCTCGGGAATTTCTCCACTATTTTTCAAACAATAATTACACCACTAGTTTCACCGGTGCTAGTGAACCTTTACAACAAGTGACCAATCCCGATCACTCTGGCTAGGTTAGGATTCGGTGCCTATTCACACCTAATCCAAGTGGTTTTATCCCAACAAATAACTCACAAAAACTCTCTTTTCACAAAAATAATATGAATAAGGAATAGAAAACCCTTTTACAATTTTGCTCAAACTCTCAATAAATTTTTTCCTAGAAAATATAACTCAACGAAGCACAACACAATATTTGAGAATATTTTAATATCAAATATCTTTCTCTTCTTCGGTTCTTTACTGCTTATTTTTCTCCAACCAAAATACTCCTTATATATCATAAAATTATATCCGTTGGGGGAAGAGAAGAGATGCTTCTCATGCTGAATTCGACGCCTTTGACACATAGAGCAATGGGTAATTTTCCTTTTCAAATTTTGTAGGCGGAGGGTGGAAAAATATAACCAAATGTCGTTTTCGATAAATAGTTAAGAGTAAATTTTCAAACTTCTCATAGAAAAATCAAATGGTACATAGTGACTGCACAGTAACTTTTCTATTAAAATATTTGACCACATACAATAACTTATCTATTAAAATATTTGTATGTATAGTAAAATATCTTTAAATAATATTTATATCATATCTGAAAATATATACTCTTTTTAAAATTTTTGTAGAGATTTTACATACACTTTAGTAAAAAATGACCTACCACCCATGCGTATAGCGATCTCGGTTTTTCCTTCATTGTTTAATTGTATTCCGGTCTCAGGTCCGTGGATGTTGGTTGTTGTCTTATTCTCGTTTCCATCATTTACTCTTTGTATTT